AAGTTTAATCAAACTAATTAAATAATTCTAATACTGTAGTTGAATCTCACAATAGACTGCTCAACTTGTAGACAAAAGCAGAAAGGGTTAAAAACATTTATCAAACTAATTAAATATTCATGTGTGTGAATCTCACAATGCTGCTCACTTGGGACAAAGCAGGAAAGGGTTAAAAAAACATTTATCAGACTAATTAAATATTCACGTTTGTGAATCTCACAATGCTGCTCACTTGAGACAAAGCAGGAAAGGGTTAAATACACTTATCAAACAGATTAAATATTTAAGGTATTTACTTTTTTTGGGCAACTGGAAAAAATTCAGAATTCTGTTACTCAAAAAAATCAAGCTAAATAAAATTTCATAAAACCATTAATCTTATGTGAGTGACTATCCCACAAAGTTATAAACTTTTACTACCACATTTTTAAGCCAGAAAAAAACAATTATCATAATATTCATCTGATAAAGTTACACAAATAGGTACAGTTTCTTTATATTAAGTGATGTTTAAAACTCAATCAGGTAAACACAAAAAAGGATAAATATTGCTGTTTATGCTGAGCTTGTATTTTAAAACAAGTTTATGGGTGTTTTAAGTAAAGAGGGCATACCTACACTTCCAAAATCCATACATACCTCAGTTGTAGCTAACTCCAGGTAAGGAAGAGGTCAACTGCCAGAGGTCGTGGTCACCTCTAACACAGGAGCCATATTCAACTTGGTTCTTGGACAGCAATATTTATAAACATGTGTTAATATAGGGCCGAAACAAATTACCTTCTGCATTGGCTTCGCAGAATAGCTTGCGATTTAAAATCCAACAACCTTTTTTTAATTGTTTAATTTTAACTAAATTAATAATACTCTCACAGCAAACGCTCATATACTTACATGCTCAAACCAGTCTTGCACCTTTACAGCTTCCCTTGGCACCAGGGGGTTTAAATTTAATCCAGTTTTCACATTCAGTGAATCAATGATTATACAATTACAATAACACAAAACAGGTGTGTACTAACAATAAAGATACCACAATCAGAGGCCGGACTTCTAAAAATATATAGTGAGAATAATTTAGAGATTTGTTATGGGTGTACGATGCTGAAGGAATTTTCATATGGACCCAACCATGTACAACATTTCACTGCAGTTCTATAGTTCATTATTACATTTATTATTTACTATGTCTACTAAGTCGTGTATTTCATAGAGCCAAGTATGTACTAGACCTAAGCTTTGACACTGAAAAAGAATCAAAGCTCTATACCACAATGAACATAAATATATTTCTGTAACTTAAGGAGTTATGAACCCAATTTCAACAAACAAACCCATCAAACTTCAATACATTGAACCACAAACAGTTCCTAACTTAAATCTCATTTATAAGAACAGCATGTTGCTACAACTGTGCAAAGCAGAAAACTTTCAAAATAAATAATACATACAAATGAATATTAACAGCTACAAATCAAACATATCTTTTCCAACTCACCACACTTTGTTTTTTCAAATCCTCCTCCTGGTTTTTAACCTCATTAATCTGTTCTTTGGTGTTTTCTGATTTACCTGCAATAACAAAATTTAATATTATTAGAAAATGAACTCAAATAACTAACTTCTTATAAAATCCATAGAAAAAAAAAAGAATTATTCCAACATCAATTTTTGCACATTAACGTTTCATTCTGATATAAAAACATTCAGTGTCTTAAGCTAGATTTTCTTTTCAGTTCTACATGACTGCTATAGAAAATTAAAAACCAAACAAACCCTTCTTGTGTGACAGAAACACATACCATGGAAACAGATAAGAATTTAGATCATATTATAAATACAATTGTAGTCCTCTGTTGAGGGATGTTTAGCTGTAATAAAAATAGCAAATGTGGTTCTTGATTCTATTTAAAGAAATTCTGAATTTATGACCATAAAAAGGTTAATTTAACCTTATGTACGACATGGTAATGCTTCATTAAGACTATTCTGTGTGGTTTTGCTTCCTAAACTACAGGAAAGATATCCGCAGCTATTAACCCTTTCTGGGATGAAGTAGTGTCCACAATATTTCCTCATGTTTCCCCCCTCAGAATGAAACTTAGTACAAACTTACTAAGTAGTATCTTGTTTTGGTTTGGAAACATTTATAGAAATTGATTTTGTACTTTTATAATTTCTTAGATTGTAAAATTTAGTCATGGGACACAGTTTAAAAAAAAAAGACAAATATTTCTTTTCATACTAGAACTTGAATCTATACATCTCTGAAAAGAAAGTTCCATTGAATGTAACTGATTAATGAACCCAATGATTAATCCATTAGTAAATTCCAATAATTGCCCAGTTCTAGGTGAGATATGGTCTTCTTTTAGCATTGGTCTTAATAAAATGTGTTATGAGAACTTTGCAAAATGTTCATTCTGAGAATTAAATAATGGAGCTTTAAGAAAGTAAAACAATACTTTCATGAATAATACATTTTATTTGAAACACTTAGATTTTTTATTTATAAACATCATCTGGTTTATCATTAGTCAAGGCGTGAGATAACCTAATTTAATAGTTACAAACTTTACATTTCACGGGACTCACCTTCAGGAGCTTCTTTATTTTCCATCTCCTTTTCTGACCCAAACATCACATCCAGAATGAGATCAGTACCCTAAAAGTTAGAATAAAATATACTATTGTTTCACATCACCACTAAACTAATTTCACCTACATTCTTAGGTCAAGAGTTTTTATCATCTTATGCTGTACTATCTGTAACCATAAAGTTACTGTTACAGAACAGCTGAGTGGGTAAGTGAAGGCACGATTTGAAAATGAAACGGACAGTCCAAACCACAGTACTTCTACATACTGTGCTTCAACATACTATGGTTTAAGGAGATCTATACTAATCAATTAATGGGACCATTGATTAACTGATTTTCAAATATCACTAATAGCCCAGCTCTACTTCCAAACATCCGGTACACCATCAACAACCCTGCAAGACAAGTGATATTTAAAAACATGCCAGTGAAATCCCAAATGATTCAACAGTCTAGATCAGTAACTCAAGAAGAGCAAACAGTGTAAAATAGACTTTATCAAGTTGCACTTTATGCCAGAAGACTAGATTTCCTAACTTCCCATTTGACCAACTTTCTTTATCTTTTATAATCATTAAAATCTCCCATCACTGCAGTCACTTTAAACTTCTTATATTTATAATTTTTTCTTTATAACCTTTGTGAGCCAATCTGATTTTTTACTTGCAGCCACTAAACTTTTTTATCTACAAGGAACACATCTATCTGGAATATTGATGAATTTATTTAAAAAGTTTTTCTACATATGATCACTATCTCCAACTAATTTTTTTTCCCAATTTACAGTAATTACTAGTAGGTTCTCTAACCAACTGTTGAAGAAAACCATCCTGAACAGTTTCTAGAAACCTGTATCCATGTTTATTTAAATTTGAACATTTCCCAATCTATATGCTTGAAATTAAAATTCAATAATTAAACCCTCATTAACAGTTCTTTATTTCACTATACAGTTTCTCATTAATTTCATCTAATGGTCTGTCACATATTCTAACTAAAATCCTTCTTCCATTATAACCACTAACAGAAATTCAAACAGATTCAACTTCATTGATATTAGCATTTATATCAACTTCAACAGGATGTAACTCACATTTTATATATATTATTAGATTTTATATCAACTTCAACAGGATGTAACTCACATTTTATATATATTATTAGATTTTATATCAACTTCAAC